GCAAGAATAAAAACTGCAGTGTATAATGAAATATACATGTAGATATGTTTTACAGCACTATGTTTCATGGGGAAAAGCTAGAAATCAGGGTTTGGAGAGATGGTTCAAGAGAGATGGTTCACAAAGATCACTAGCTGCTGTCGAAGAGGTCCTGGGTTTGGTTTCCAGCATCTACATGGTGGCTCATAATTGTCTTTACTGACAGTTTCTGGGGAATTTATGCCTTCTTCTGGCCTATGCTGGCTCCAGAAATGTATGTGGTGCACAGATATACATGTACACAAAACACTATTACACAAAAATAAAAATAATAATAATAAGTTTTAAAAAAGAATTAAATATTTGGAAACACACTCTGAATGTCTATGAAAAGGGGAATGATTGATCCATCTCCATAGGGAGTATTATACAGTTGTTAAAGAGAGATATGTGGTGCCATTACTGATGTAGCAATTTGACTGGAGTGATTTCCTTGCAAATATAGGGATTGTCACGAGGAATTTTCCAGGTGCAATAAAAACCCCCCTAATCAGAGATATATAAAGAACAGTATCCTAGATAATATGAATGGACCTGACTGAATCTGTTAGAAGGCTTATAAAAGAAGACTGAGATATTCAGTGAAAGAATTTTTACCTGTGGAACAGAGCTTCCTACTTATACAGTCCCATATTTCATGTGATCTTCTCTCTTACTAACTTCTTGTACCTGACACCTTTGTCTCTACTCATGACCTTCCATGCCTGACCACCTGCCCTTCAGATGTAGGAATCACTTGTCCAGCCTTTGCAACTACATAAGCCAATTCCTTGTAATAAAGCTCTTAAAAGTAATCCTGGTTACGCTTTTCTGGTTGAAGCTCAACTGATGTAAAGAAGTATATAAGGTTCTATACCTAGATAGTTACTTATAAAAAATTTAGTTTAAAAACCAGTCACAAACCAATATGTAAAACACATTTTTGTAAGTGTGCACATGTGTGCCTGTGTGTGAGTGTGTGTGTGTGTGTGTGTGTGTGAGAGAGAGAGAGAGAGAGAGAGAGAGAGAGAGAGAGAGAGAGAGAGAGAGAGAGAGAGAGAGGGAAGGAGAGAGGGAGAGAGACAGAGTGCATAGGATAAGTATGGAAAGAAACACACCAAATTGTTAATGTTCATTATCACATAGAACATAAGAGTGAGAGGATTCTACTACTGAACCATATTAGGTTGTTAGCTTTGTTCTTGTAGGACTCCTAGCAGTGGGAGCAAGAGGTGGGTTGGTAGGGTGGAGGGTGGTGTGCCTCTGACTCTTTTCCTCCTACTGGGTTGCCTTGTCCAGCTTTGATATGAGGGTGCATGCCTAGTCTTATTGCATCTTGTTATGCCATGTTCGGCTGATATCCCTGGGAGTTCTGAAGGAAAACTGAGGAGCAGTAGATCTGGGGGAGGAACTAGGAGGAGTGGAGAGAGGGGAGGCTGCAGTTGAGATGTATGAGGGAAGAAAAAAAATCCTAATAGTCTTCTTTTTTAATAAGTTAAATGTATACTGATAGTCAAAGTATAACACTATCAAATAAACTGTTCTTTATTCATTTATGAAAAATAATATGAATTTGAACTATGTAATTTCTCATGAGATTGTTCATTAATTTTCTTTCTTTTCTTTTCTTTTCTTTTTTTTTTTTGAGACAGGGTTTCCTCTGTGTAGCTTTGGAGCCTTTCCTGGAACTCACTCTGTAGCCCAGGCTGGCCTTGAACTCATAGAGATCTACCTTCCTCTGTCCTCCAAGTGCTGAGATTAAAGGTGTGCACCACCACCAACAAGCCCAATTTTCTAATAAAAATTAGTCACTTATTCAGGACTAAAACTACTATTATTCATTAAACTCTGATTAAAACAAAAGAGAGGAAATGCAAAAGAATGCTTGATATATTTCTACTATGATTTAAATGTTTATCATGGCCAAGATTTATAATTAAATAATACACAAAAAACAATAAAATTATGTTAAATATACACGACAGTCAATGATATTAAATGATTGGTAGAAATCCTAATGAGATAATATGAAATGAAAAATGGGAATAAAAATTGCATTTATAGAGATGGGTGTGAGAGAAAGAGTAATAGGAATTCTCACAATTTTATTTAAATATATGTAAGAAAATACTAGAAGGAAGTATATCAAAACATTTACAAAACTTATTACAGTGTTATGTTATTGTGATTTTCACCTTTTTGTGTTTTTTTTGATTGCTCAGTATCTTCTGCAATTTTCTAACTTAATGTAATTAGACTAGGGGAAAAGTCACATAAATCCATATTTAAAAACAAAACAAAGATGACATAAGTCTGTCAGAAAATAATTTATGGAAGCTTTTCATTAGAAGCAGATCTTTGAAGGCACAAATTAGTAGGGTATTGTATGGGAGATGTGGTGCTAGAGGCAGAGGGAATGGCAGAGATCTTTTAATTAATGCAGGATCTATGAACTCAGATTCTTCATTGATAGGTCGAACAGCCTTATCTCAATATCATTCTACATCATGACTCAATGCTGTGCTTGTACTTTAAAAGGAACTACTCTAATAAGACTCTAAGTGTGTTTTCAATGTGGACTTTAAGATAAGGGAAGACGCCGGGCGGTGGTGGTGCACGCCTTTAATCCCAGCACTTGGGAGGCAGAGCCAGGCGAATCTCTGTGAGTTCGAGGCCAGCCTGGTCTCCAAAGCGAGTTCCAGGAAAGGCGCAAAGCTACACAGATAAACCCTGTCTTGAAAAACCAAAAAAAAAGATAAGGGAAGACAAGGATTACCCTGTCTTTCTGGCCATCCATCTTTCACTCTGGGTCATTTCAGTCCCTAGCATGATATAAGAACACTTTTGTGCCGGAACTCAACAGGTAAGCATATTTTTCTAGAGGCAATTTCTGCAACATTGAACATATAGCCATTTTAAGGTACAATTCTATTTGTACAAAACATGGAGCAAAACAAGAAACTTTTCTAGGAATTAGAAAAGTTGATTTATCTTATTTGCTGTCTCTCCCTCAGTGCTGGAGATTTAACACAGGACCTTGTGCATTCTAGGGAAGTACTTATCTTTGAGCTATATCCCTGGCCCTTCATTTTAAAGAAATGGACTCCCACTATAGTTCAGGTTGGCCTGAATTCATGATGCTGCCCAGGCTGGCCTTGAACTTGGAATCATCTTGCTTCCATCTTCTGAGTACTGCAATTACATGTTCCTTATTATAGAAATAGGACCTTGAGGAAGATATTACATAGAATTTAATAAGCTACAAATCTATAGCCACAAAACCATAGCCATATAAACTGCTTCAACCCCAAAAGGATGTTTTATTCTGAATCTAAATGAAATGAGTGGTCATGGTTTTTGATACTGTTGTATTTTCTGTAATTTACTTTTAAATAGTTCGAGAGTATGATGACTAAGTGCATATTATTTTAATTATAAGTTAATATCTGAAGTAACTTTATCAAGAATTAAATACTCAGATGCCTTTGCCTCAGGGACTAATACTACCACATTAATTGAGAAGGCCTAAATAGCCTAACTCTGTTAGACATCAGTTTTCACTGGTAAAATCAATGTAATTCAAGATGTATACATGTAACTTGGCCTTCTCAGAACCCAGTATAAGGATAAAACAACCACTGTAACTTGAAAGGGACCTGAAGTTTTTGAATAAAACAAGATCACTTCTATCTTTGATGTGGGATGGTCTATATGTCAAATGTGTTGCTGATTGGTCAATGAATAAATCACTGATTGGCAGTGGCTAGGCAGGAAGTATAGGCGGGACTAAGAGAGAGGAGAATTGAGAGAACAAGAAGCTGGGTGGGGGAGACACTGCCAGCCGCCATCAGGACAAGGAAGATGTAAAGTACCGGTAAGCCACAAGCCACGTGGCAAGGTATAGATTAATAGAAATGGATTAATTTAAGCTGTAAGAACAGTTAGCAAGAAGCCTGCCACGGCCATACAGTTTGTAAGCAATATAAGTTTCTATGTTTACTTGATCGGGTTTGAGCGGCTTGGGACTGGCGGGTGGCAGAGATTTGTCCTGACTGTGGGCCAGGCAGGAAAACTCTTAACAACATATCTTAGTTAGGGTCTCTATTGCTGTGAAGAGACACCACGACCACAACAACTCTTATAAAGGAAAACATTTAATTGAAGTTGCAGCTTACAGTTCAGAGGTTCAGTCCATTATCATCATGGTAGAGAGCATGGTGACACATAAGCAGACATGATGCTGGCTATATTTAGAACAGAAGTCAACAGGGAGTGGATGTCTGACACACTGAGTGGTATCTTGAGCATATATGAGACTTCCTCCAACAAGACTATACCTACTCAAATGAAGCCACACTTCCTAATAGTGCCACTCCTTATGAGATTATGGGAGCCAATTACATTCAAACTACCACACCCTGCCTTGGTCCTCATGAGAATTATGTTGCTACTTTCTGCTTTTGAAGTTGGCTGAAGGTTGGGAATATAACTCATTAGCAGAGTATTTGGCTAACATGAACAAGGCTCTGGCATTTATTCCCAGCAACACAAACAAATAAAGCTATCCATCTCATTGGTATAATTCTACCAAATCTGCATTGACAAATCATTTCATAAAACACATCCTCCTCATACACCTAGAGACAGAGAGATCTGTGAATTTATGGAGATTACAGAACAGGATGCATGACTCCTTTGTGTTCGTTTGTTAAAACATATGCGTGTGACAGCGGAGAATGAGTTTGGAATTGGATTTTGGTACAATATTCCTATCTGAAAATAGATATTAGGCATGAACAATCTATAACTCATACCTATTGGTATTTACAAACAAAGACCTATAATAAGGAACCACCATAGTGACTTAGGTCACTTTGCACCAAAAAATCTTCCCTTTGACTCTAGAAAGACGAAATCAATCGGAACCCTCTATGGAAGGTTCTTTACAATTATATTTTTCTTTCTGCTCTCAGGTCACTTACCAATTTTTTCATCTTCCTGTACCATTTTCCTCTCTTCTCTGAAAGCTCTGAGCCAACGTATTTTCTCCTCCAGTTTCTTGGCAAAGAACAGATGAACTTCTTCTGTTTCCTTGTTATGAAGCTTGAAAGCATTTTTCATGCTGACATTAAAGTCATCATCTCTGCCATCTTCAATGTCAATTACCTCATATTTATCCATGTCAATGCGCCCTTTGTAGTATAGGATGTCTCTCCGGATTAGGTCCTAGGTGGGAAGAAAGGTTATGTTGTCAGAAGTATAGGCAGAGTGGATGCCAGCAGGACACAAACACTGTCATTATTCTGGAATATGAATGGAGATTTATGGTCTCAATATATGCACTGAGATGACCAGCTGGACACTGACAAATTGGTTAAGTAGGTGCTCTAAGAGATGTCCCACATCCAAAGACTGTTTCAAAGCCCAGCATCAATCGCTGGCATGTAAGCTGCTTATAAGCAATAGAAAGGAGTATGCAACAAATCTCTACCAGCAAGGGAATTTTTCCTCTTCTAAAAACTTGGCATCATTACCAGAAGCATAAAATAAGCTTGCTGCAATATGCTGAAAAACTCAAGCAGGAGACCGAGAATAAAATTTTAAACGAAAGTTCAATGGTGAGAGTTACTAGAAGGTCATAGACTGTTGGACAGGAAGAGTAAACTGTAATGGATCTAGTACTTTAACACTTGGTGTTTGGGAACAAAAGATAGTTTGACAGGAAAAGTAGCTAAAAGAGAGTAAAGAAGGTACATATATCAACACAGATGAATCCTATGATCTTATATTAGCAAAGCAAAGTAATAGATGTGTACAAATTCAGTGTTCTCTATCTTTTGTTGTTGTTTTACTCATTTACATAGAATTAAATGAATCCTAATTCTAGTCGATGAGACCCTCATCCTAAGTCTGTGCATAGTGCTCTTATTTCTCTACTAACTGACATGCATTTTTAAATGGTATATTAAGTATTGGTGAGCCTTCCACCCTATGCAAAGCTATGACTCCCAAACACTCCCATTTTAAATTTCATGTTCATCCTTGACTTGACAAAAGGAGGATAATGTGGGAAAATATACAGATGTACGGTTTGAATTCTCCCTTACAGTTGATAATATGGCATATATAGACCTGGAAAGACAGCACACTTCATGAGTGGCTGTCCTAAACTGTTTACAACCTAAACTACTAACAACCTCAACTTCCTGGTTCTTAATCTTTGTCCAAAGATTCCTTCTCCCCTCTACCAAACTAGTGCCTCATAATCATTTTCAATCTTAAATGCCTTTGGCAATTTCCTAAAATTTAATAATATGTATGATCATGGGGCTCCATTACCAGTATCAATCTTAATATCCTAATGTTTATTTATATATTTATATTTGACAAAGAAACAAGGAAATATTCTTTCTTTAGCAGAAGAACAAGGATTAGAATGATGTGTTGTTAAAACTCTGTGTTATGAAATTTTTTTCTTTGTGGCTCAATAGAGGGGTCAATATGAGTTTTCAGGCACCATATTATTGATAAGCTAAGTATAGGGATATGATAGAAATGACTACAAATGATCTATGGGCTCAGGAAGTCCAATCAAAATGGGTAGCAAAGGCCATGAAACAACATGGGATAGTGAAAAGAATATGAATAAAACACAAATATTTAAATTTGAGTTCTAGATGTTTAACTATATGGCCTTAGGCAAGCCACTTAGCTTCTCTCAGCCTCAACTGTTGCAACTGTAAAATTAGAAAAGTTAACCTTATCGTATTAAATAGCTGCAAAGGTCCTACTTAAACACAAAGTTTCAATCCTATGAAGCCAGCCTTGTCCAGTAAATGTATCCTTGAACTTTTGTGCTCCTTTAGAATCCTTTTTGATAAGCCTTCAAATTCTACTGACTCTTGCAACTTAAATTTTCCAAGCAAGCCAAATATGAGCAGTTAAGTACTATGGGTCAAAGAAAATACAAATTTCAATATTTTTTAATTTACATGGCCACTGATTCTAGAAATTTGACAGGCATTTAGGTAGGAATAGTACTTGCTAGCCCACTCATACAAATCACAAATCTACTTGGGTTCACAATAATGTATCCTTTTCTTCCCAACCAGCTCTCTTATTTCAATCCTTCTAACCTTCATTGTCAAGTCACATAGTCTTCTGCAAAGAAATGTTCTCTGATTAGACATTCTAACTGTTGTGGCTCCCCTTGTATAAATTCTACCACTAACTACAAAGGATCTTAAATGCTACTCACTTGGCACTTAACCATCATACCAATTAGAGCATTTAATTCCGTGTGTTCATTTAGACTGTGCTCAGCACTCTGTCTTTTTTGAACTTGCCTCACTTAGGTATTGTCCATAGAAAAGCAGTTTCTGAGGTTTCTTGGGCCTTCTGAACATAGCAATACAATAAATCCTTCCTGAGTCCTAGGTGCTTGTGGTACTCTTGGTATTACATGGTTTGATGCCTCCAAAGTGGTGTGGTGATAATATGCTACAAATAGGTAGGCAATATTTGGATCACAGCTTCCCTGTCCAGTGGAGTTTACTGTTTCTAACAGGACACCAGCCTTTCTCAGTTTCTCTTTTTGTTTGTTCAAGTCATGGGACATAAAGAGCTTAGTACTTCTCCAGGATTGTTTTAACAGCTGGTAGAAACCAAGTTCCTGGACATAGCCTGTGGCTCCAGCAAGGAACTATCCTAATCCCTGACATTACATAATTCAAACGGCTCACAGATATTTCAACTTGATCCCACTAGGTAATCCTAGGATTTAGCAAGACTTCACAGGACATTTTGTACAAGTGACAGATGCTACAATCTGGAGTATAAAGCTGTTCAGTATTATAGCCTGCCTTATTTATTTATCAGTAAGTTTGTCTCTACTTCTTTAGAGGAGGTCATGACTACTCTTCCCCAGCCTAGAAGACTCCAGTTTTCTATCCAGATCTTGGGGAATACATGTGGACAAGGGTAAGCTTGTTTTGGTGACTACTGTATTCCAACATGTACAGCACATGCTTAACAGTCAAAATAAAAATAACAATGACAACAGCATTAGCAAGCACTTAAAGAGCATATACTATATGCCAACTGCTATCCTACCGTCTTTGCATTTGTCAACTTAAATATTGCTGACAAAGTACTACAAGGTAGGTAGCTGCATTTTATAAGGAACTATAGATATAGAGCCCCTATTGAACTTAGTTAAGATTAAACAGTGGAGCTAGGCTTTGGGTCCACAACATCTGGCTCTAAAATCTGTGCCTTTTATTAGGAAATATATTATATATTGCTTTAGAGTTAAAATTGCTAAGTGAATGATTACCAACATGACATTCACTGTAATTGAATTAATTGCTAACGTTTTGTAAATACAATGTGCCAGCAATTATTATCTGTACAGCCTCATTTAAATTTCATGCCTTCCTTTAGATTCCTATTTTGTCAAATGAGGAATAATTATAAGCAGAGAAAACATATTTAAATTCAGACAGCTCATTGGAGAAAAGTAATGGGTACCTTCTCGTCTGGCTGTAGTAGACATGCTTTTAACATTATACTCCATCACTTCCCACTAGCTATCATGGCTTCCCTCTAGAGCCTTTCTGAAATGTATTCTATTACTAGTTCAGTAATAAAATTGATAAAAATAGATGAATAAAAAGGACAAATAAAAGAAAAAATAGATTAAAAAGTACTGGTTAACACAGACTTGATTGGTAAGAGGTAAGTAGAGTCTAGTATCCACTTTTCTGATTTTAACTCCATTATCTATCTTATTCCTATATTGTCCCTGTCTCTTTCCTTAAAATTGTATTTATTTATTTTATGTGTATATGTGTGTGCCTGAATTTATGTATTTGAAACATGTGAGTGCCTGTGAATGAGGAGGCTGGAAGAGGACATTGAATTCCTTGGAACCAGAGTTATGGGTAGTTGTGAACCACCATGTGGGTGTTTTGAATTGAACCCCAGGTCGTCCACAGAGCAGTGAGTGAGCCATCTCTCCACCCCATCCCTCCCTCTTGTTGCTACTTTTGTATGTGAGTTGTTTCAAATGGCTCGTGTTGCAATTCTGTCCTTTCAGTACGAAAAGAAATGACTAAATGCACAAACTTCCCTGAACAAAAGTCCTCTGTCCAGCATCATTACATGTAATTTAGTTCTTATCTCTCAGAATATTATGAAAGCAACATAAATGCAGTACAGTTATGATAGCGGACAATGGAACATGTGGGCAGAAGCACAAGTAAGAACAGTGAATGCAGAGAAAAGGTTGCTTGGGATGATAATAGCTGTGTAGGAAAATTGGTGGATAATGGGATAAAGAGGTCTATTCTCTTCCACAGTAAACAGTGAATAGGGAGAACAAAAACAAAATATGGAGAATTATTCCTACAACATCAAAATAATTTCAAAATAATGACATCTGAGAGAAAACAGCAAAACACAAAACTAAATTAATAGAGGAGCAGAGGCAGCCAGTACCTAGAATAAGAAGAAAGAGAACAAAGGGGTCTTACAATTTTAAAAAAATGACAACGAAAGAAAAGGAACAGAAATTAAAGGGGCTACTGGTGTCTTTCATGTGTATTATAACTGCTATTTTAAAAGTACCCTCTTTTATCCTTCCCTCTGCAAGACGAGCTACAAGCTGTACATACTGTTCAAACTCTTTGGAATGCTTTATTCAATCCCAAGTCCCAGTGTACAAAACAGGCAAGGTTTTGTTTAACTGGCTGCAAGTTAAAGGAATCAGAAGAGTCACACAGAAATTTAGTAGGTGGACATTAGTTGTTGAATTTTAAAGAGTAGACTGAATATTTAAATGTTTCCTATGTTACCTGTAGCAGATAAATATTGAGTCCACACTTGAGTAAATCTACTGATGGGGACTTCACCAACTTACAATAGTATGTTTTTTTGTTGAAAGTAAGAGATGAACAAGCTTCACATGCATCTCTAACAGTCCTGTCCCTCAACTGCCACTTCATATGCATTGATCTCATTTATTCTTCATAACAATCCTGTTGCTTGCTCTCCCTGCATTATAGGTGATATAATGGAGGTGCATGAAATAAATAGTTACTTGCTTGCTTGAAATAATAGTCATGTTAAAACCAGGATTTAAGAGCAGAACTATTTGACTTTATATATCACTCCTTGTTTCTCGTCTCTAAAAGGAAACTGTGCGAGAATCTAAAGTGGCAGCAGAAAGAAATTGAGATTCCTGGGGCTGGGGATTTGGTTCAGTTGGTAGAGTATACATGAAGCCCTTGGCTTGATCCCTGGCATCACATACCTGCAATCTCAGCAATTGGGATGTAGAAGCAAGAGAGATCAGAAGTTTGGGCTTACATTTTGATACATAATGAGCTCTAGGATATGCTGAGGTGCAAAAGACCCTGTCTCAAAGTAAAACAAACAAATGATTCCTACCCTGAAATACAGATTCTCTCTGTGAATTTCAGTCTTATCATCGAGTACAGATATAATACAAATAGAGCTCTTATTGAAACATCATAGCTTCTTCTTAGAAACAAGTGCTGAGCCCTCATGGTCAATTAATCTTGTCCTAAATATTTAGACTGCTTAATAATCAACTACAAAATTTGGACAAGCTTAATGGAAGTAGTGACATAGAAGTCACTAGTATAGAACCTTGGGACAATTTGACTAGTTTTAGTCCCTGGCTCCATGGCTGTAGAACGTAGCTCAGTGGTAGACAACTTGCCTTACAAGTGCACATTCTTGGGTAAACCTGTAGCCTGAGAAATGAAAAAAATTGAAGCTTATAATTCCTAGCTTCATTATTTATCAGCCATGATAAATATATAAGTACTCTGTATTTCAATTTCATATATCATTAAAATAGGAATAATCACAGTATTTCCCTGGTAAATTTGTTATGAATATTGAATTAAATTAATGAATATAAAGTTATTTAAATAGAATCATAGAGGCATTCAAATAATGCCAATTCATCATTACTTCATATTCATTATATTTTCCATAATATAGCTTTCTGTTTTGAATACTGGTGTATTTTCTTCTTTATAGTTTTATCACAGATTTCATTAGTATTTATAATATTGCCAAGATTGCCTAAAGCAATTCTACCAGACATGTCTGAGGGTTATTTCAACATATAAAAATGTATATTTATGTTACACTAAATTTTATTAGATTACAGGTCCCATGAAGGCAAATGTGACTGCCACAGAGTATGCTCTCAAAATAAAAATTCACAGCAGTGAGATACTTTATTGCAACCTCATATCCTTTAGGCTTCAATTCCTCTTGGTAAAGGACTTTCTGTTCCTCGGTTACCATTAAAACTTCTGTCTCATGTAAAGTCCTGTGAAACTATCAGTTATTTTTCATCCTTTATTTTTAATATATTCAGGTATTTAGAAATCTTTAATATTATCTTTAAGATTTTTAAACTAGCCTTCTAGTATTTATGAAATTATTTGTGTTATTCCTGATAAATTTGTGAAGGGTTCTTTTAAAATATGAGCTTATCAGAAAGATAATGTAGCCATATTCAATTATTTAGTTGTTGACTAGCTCATTCTTTCTTAATGAAAAAAAAATAACTGAGCTTTTAGGCATCCATTTAAATTGTTTTCCAGAGGTGAATCCTTACTCACCTCAGTCTACTCTTACCCTTTCCCATCTTTTCCTTTGTCAAAGGTTATCTTCAACTCCAGAATAATGTTGGTCCCCTGCACCCGCCCCCACCCAGTGCTACTAAGACTCAGTCTTTTGCAGTAATAGTAAGAACAATTTGGCAGACAAAATACCTTGTTCTTTTGTATACCTTCTTTCCACTACATTATTATTTTGGGGTTTACCTCTTATTTGATCAATAGAAAATAGAAAGGTTTATTGTAGATAACAAGGAAATCCTCAACCATGGACTCAATACAAATATCAGATACTATTAACGGTCTTTACTTAACAAGGCTGTAGCTTTTCAATCCTGGGAAGCCTGTGCTAAGAATATCCAAGTATGTGGAGTTAAGAGTCTTGAACTCTAGGCTGGCTTTGTTCTGGAGAGAAAGCTGATGACCTCACTAAAACAAGAGAACTCTCATCTGAGAGAAGCTATGCTTTCATCAAGGTGTCTATTGTCGTTGCCATCCTGTTGTTAGCCTTTCCTGTGCTCCAACGCGGCTACTCTGAATTCAGAGGCCCTCCCTTGACTTCCACATCTTTCTTACCATTGTCTTTCTAGCTAGTTGCCTTAGAACTGACACACCAGTTCATCTTAGTTTTTTGCTGCCCCTTCGCTCCTACATAGAGCATACTGTACCATCTCTTTTTTTTTCTTTTCCTTTATCTTTAGGCTCTGCTTCATTTACCCATTTTACTTAAAGCAACTGCATCTTTGGGAGACAGATGTAAAAATCAAGAAATATGGGCAGGTAGTGTGGAACCCTGAGATAAACCAGAATAACTGTTCTCTCTCTCTCTCTCTCTCTCTCTCTCTCTCTCTCTCTCTCTCTCTCTCTCTCTCTCTCTCTCTCTCTGAGTGTGTCTGTCTGTATCTCTCTCCCCTCTTCCTCCCAGTCTCTCCTTCTCCCTCTTCCTTGCCTCTCTCTCCCTCTAATTGTTCTAAGCATGAACATACATTAATGGGAAGAATAGACAAATACCTTCGGTGATATGACTAATAAGCTAAGAACTTCCTTGTTGCCTTTACTAATTTTCAGAAATTCTGACTCCTGGTTTGTACGAAACTTCTGGTAAGAGCTAGGGGAGCTGAAAAGAGACATTGGTGTTTTGCGGAGTCTCAGATTCATAGGTTTTCTCTTCCAGGGTCAGATCGAGACTGAAATAACTACCCTAATTAACTAGCAGGTTATTGGTTCCAGATATGGCATTCAGAGTTTATCTACAAACACCAAGGCAGTTTGAATCTAAGCTCAATTTACTCTCTCAATTGATTGCGAAAGGCAAACATGCAACACGATTTAATGGAGGACACACCACACACATGCACACATAGAGCAAGGGACGTGAACCAGATGTCTGCTTAGTGTTTAACTTGGTATGTCATGACCTAACACCCCTCTTTAGGGCATTTGCTACTGGGTAAAGGAGACCACCAATGTAAAAAAAAAAAAAAAAAAAAAAAAAAAAAAGGAGCTATGTAACAGAGAAAAAGGCAAGAACGAGAACAAATTTTGAAAGTCACTCTGGGTATTCTGATTTCTCCCTCACTTTCTGTGAGTCAAAATTCTTCCCAAACAAATCTTACTGAAAACACTGGTTTGAGCCTCCTATTACAAAAGGAGGAACAGTATTCTATTAGAAACCCTCAGGAGAGATTATGTGAGGAACATATGCTATCCCTCTTTGCCAAAGAGAAGTGCCTAAGAAAGCACTATTTACAGAGGTATCCAAGGATCAGTGACAACAAGTACAGGATATCTCCTCAAAGGGCTTACGGGGACAGGATATCCAGCAACAGCATGATTGAGAGTTTGGGGGGAACTGATGATGCACTTTGTATAGGAAATTGATAGAGACATGAAGGAAAATCTTGTTGCACGGAGGGTCTATGTGTTGTTGGTTCCTCAGGTAGGAAGTGGGCAAGTGGCCCCAGTCAAGTGGGAATGGGGAAAGGTACTCTTGGAAGCTATTCTTTGCTAAGTAAGATACAAATGCCACAATATTCTTTAACGCTGGTCCAAACTTGCTGACTATCTGCCGTGTGTGCAAGGAGCTCAGAAGGAATACCACAGGAGTTATGAAGGAAAAACATAAATGCTACTGGGACAAAATGTGTTAACCTCAGCATCACTGTTGCTTATGATCTTCATGACATACCAGTGCTTCTGATATAGAACTGCTGCCATTTTCCTCTGGCTGATTTTGCCCATTTCTTTACAAAGCTGGGGATAATGAAAGGGAAGGAGCTTATAGTGCTCCCTGAGGTCCTCATCTCTCTCAGAAAAGAAGAGGTTAAGTTTACCTTCTTGCAGAGGACCATTTGGTGGTCGAATAGGAAGAAGACTCTCTGCTGGTTGCGGCCATAGGGCTGATAGATCCAGGCCATCTCTCCAGTGTAGATCAGCTCCGAGCTCCTGTCTAAGATGTCCTCTCCCTAGGAAGGACATGTGATGGTGAGAGATGCCAGTACAATTGTAGAGCCGGTACAATTCCATACACATAGATACCCAGAGGTGAGCATAGACTAAAGTGGGAGGTAGCCAAAAAGAGATTGTGGAGATGGAGGAAAAGAGAGAGACTTCTGGGCTCCCTTAAAAGGTTTACAATTCTGTAAGTGAGAAGACTCATATTCTTATTTACTGTGGGGTTAAATAAGACCCATCCCTTAGTCAGTCAGTCCCCCGTCCCCTCTATATCACCCTCCACTCCTCCTGTATTCTTATTTACTCTAAACCTAAATGACACCTGGAAGTCAGTTGTCAGTCAGTCAGCCAGCAAGGCAGACAGGCAGGCAGGCAGGCAGGCAGGCAGGCAAGCATTCTCTTTTCTCCTCCTTCTTATCGTTTATGACTCTCTTTTCTGCTCTAGTCTCTCAATTCCTACCTGGCCTCTCACTTACTTCAAGAGTAAGCCTGAAAAGGTAGTAGAAATTTTTCTGTTTTCCATGTAAAAAATGAAATAAGGGGGGAAATATTTTATGATAAAATCAGGAAGTTTACCACACATGCTTCAGCCTATGTGAAAATGGAAGAAATGAGCAGTGGCCTAGGAAAGAGAACTTATTGTTCCAGGGGATGTATATGGGTCGAATAGTGTGCTAGTTACTATCTCATCTGGACCTCACAAAAGTTCTGTCAGATAAACAGTCTTGGTCCCATTTTACATCTTCAAGTACCAAGACGTCAAGTGATAGGATAGGATCATGAAGCTTGTTAGCTATAGATACTCTGATCCTAATCTCTCTATTTTCAGAGAGCACCTTTACTGTTTATCATAAATTATATTACTTCTAGCACCAAAAGTGCCTAGATGTCCAGTCCTTTCCTCTCCCTCAGTCTGTTTCACCAGCTGTTAAATGAGGTATATCAGAATAATATCTATAGTGCCAGCTCTGGTACCTTTACAGTTAAATGTATACCCAAAGTTCGAGTCTGGATTAAAGATAGAAGTCCATATACTTCCAAAATATCAAAGCAAATAGCTCTGGCAGAATAATCCTCTAAAATAGAGTGACATCAGGAAATGGTATCCTTAATTGTACCATTTCCTCTAGTCTGAGGGACTGGAAAGAAAAGGAGATCTCAGTGGATTATTTTCTAATAACAGAACTTGAAATCAGCTCAAAAAATACCATCTTAACTCTAGGGTCCAAATTTAGCTACAAGAGTATCTAAGACAAAGGTAAATAAGCAGTCCTTCTTGAGTTGACATACTAGCACTGAGACTTGGGATGCATAGGGCTGGGTCAGACCTCTCCTCAGAGTTGGCCGTTCCGGATACAAGAGAGGAAGATGTGCCACAATCCACTTTGAGTATGTATAAAGTGAAAGAATGCATAAAAGTTGGCTAATAATACAAGTTGATGACAAACATGACTATTTTTGAGGCAGGGTCTTACTATGTAGTCCAGGCAAGCCTGGAACTTGCTATATAGCTCAGGGTGATCTTGAACTTGCAATCCTCCTCCTGAAGCTTCCCAAGTACTGGGGTTATAGGTATAAGCCACCATGCCCAGATTCCAGGATGACTTTTAAAGTTACCATTTGATGAACTGAGGATGATCAGACCTGGGGGAATAGTCAACATTTTCTTAGGTAGGGGCATACTAACCCTATTTTAAATAGTTGCTGCATGTAACACTGAGTTAAAAAATGTTGAGAAAAAAACATACTTCTATGCTCACTGAGCTAACTAACCTTGAACAACTAATATATCCTCATTGTGTCTCATGTTTTTTGAGACAGGGTTTTTCTGTGAAAGCCCTGGCTGTCCTGGCACTTGCTTTGTAGACCAGGCTGGCCTCAAACTCAGAAATCTGCCTGCCGCTGCCTCCTGGGAGCTGAGATTAAAGGCTGTTTCTTCATTCATTTTGAGACTGTAACATTACAAATTTGTTTAGATATTGTGAAGAATACTTAAATTAACATTCATAAGTACTTATGAATACACACATCACATTGTAAACTTTGCATATGTAATTTTCATACTGGGTATACCATGTACTCCAGGTACTAATACATATTTCCTGTTTTCTACTAATACAATGAACTATTAAAGGATGAGCTGTGATTCTGTTCAAAATCATAAATCAGAGAAACTGGAAGTAATTTATCCAAAGAGGCAGAACCAAGTTCAGAATCACTCCAAAGCCTATGTGCCTAACTACAAGACTGCATTTGAATGATGGTACCTTGCCTAGCAGAAAATCAGCTACAATGGAAGATTAGTGAGATGAGACTGTTAAAATAACTGTGTTGTGTGTCCAGTGCTGTTACTAACTCACTCTGTATCCCTGGAAAGCAGTTTAAGCAGTTACTGTTTGATCGAAAGCATCAAATCTGTGTGAGGGCAATAGTAAGTTTACATGAGGGAAAGGATGCTCTCATTGTTTAGAGCTTTCATTCTTGTCTCCTCTGCCTCAGTTGTACTTTACATCTCTGTATCTTGCCCCACAGGGCACAATCCATTTCCACTGCCTCTAGGGGTTTCTGTACTCTTCTAGCATTTACCACAAACTGCTCACTGTCCTAGGAATCTATCTGTCTGCCTACTCCAGATGAACAAGGCCATGTCTGATTCATCCCAGATTCTATAACGGCTGGCAAGGACAAGGCAAAGAGAGGCTGTTCAAAAGGCAAGTCTCCACTTATGAGTGAGTACATACCCCACAGCTCCAGAGAGACTAGCTAATGAGGAGAACACCAAGAGGGATGCATGGATCGCCCTGGGAAGGGGAAATGGATGAGATCTCCATGAGTGGACTAGGGGTCAGGGGGGTAATGGAGGGTAGGGGATAGGGGATGAGAACATAAGGGAATGGGATGATTGAGTTGGAACAGGGACGGAATGGAAGAGCAATGAAAGAGACACCATGATAGAGGAAGACATTATGGGAATAGGGAGAAACAGGATGCTAGGGAAGTTCCCAGAAATCCACAAGGATGATCCCAGCTTAGACTACTAGCAATAGTGGAGAGGGTGCCTGAACTGGCCTACCCCAGTAATCAGATTGATGACTACCCTAACTGTCATCATAGAACCTCCATCCAGTAACTGATTAAAGTAGATGCAGGGATCCATAGCCAAGCACAAGGCTGAGCTTCATGAGACCAGTCGAAGAGAGAGAAGAGGGATTCTATGAACAAGGGGCATCAAGATCATAATGTGGAAACGTATAGAGACAACCAAACCAAACTAGTGGGAACTCATGAACTGTGTACCAATAGCTGTGGAGCTTCTATGGGACTGGATAGGTGAGAGTTATGTAGCTTGATCTGCTTAAGGGGCCCCCTGGCAGTGGGATCAGAATCCATCCTCAGGGCATGAGCAGGCTTTGTGGAGACCACTGCCTATGGTGGGACACTTTACACAGCCTTGGTCCGGGGAGAGGGGGGGCTTGGACCTCCCTCAACTGAGTGTATCAGGCTCTGCTGACTCCCTAAGGGAGGCCTTGCCTTGGAAGAGGTGGGAATGGGGGTTGGGATGGGAAAGAAGGCTGGGGGGTAGAAGGAGAGAGAGGAGGGTATCTGTGGTTGGTATGTAAAATGAATAGAAAATTTCTTAATAATAATAATAATAATAATAATAAATACATATAATCAGGTAAAAAAAAGGCAAGTCTCCTAAAATCACATATCAAATCCTCCAGTGCCTTCCATCCAAACTGGAAACAAAGTCCTTAGATGAGAACATATAGGCTGACCTCCAATTGCTCCTATACAATTTCTGCTCTTTTTGCTAGCCACACTGGCCGCTTTCTTTTTCTTAGACTATACATTCTCATATCTCAGGGGCTTTGTTATGGCTCTTCCTTCTACCTGAAATGCTAGACCACAAAAAACTCACATGATTTTTCTCTTTCATCTTCTTCAGGTCTTTTCTCAAGTGTTGTTCCCTTTGGTAATTTCTCCGTTACTCTAGCCTGTTATTTCATTTTCCCCATAATCCCTATCAACATCTGATGATAGCATGCTTATGTGTTGCTTTTCTTCTCTACTGAAACATAAACTATAGAAACTTTGCTCCACCACTTAACACATTTCTAGAACACAGAATCAAGCCTGATGGAAAGTATTCAATAAATGATCTGCAAAGAATGAATCAATGGTTAATAAATGAGTAGTGACCATTAAAACCTACCCAGAACTTTCTTATCAGCTTTTCACATCACATTTTTTTTGCAGCCAAAATCTCAAGGAGTAGGCTTCATTTAATTTTAATTAATTCTAACTAACCCATTTTGTTAAGCTTTACTTCATCCTGATTACAGGATAATTGATGATGGAGCTATGGCCTGAATGGCCTAGCAGGCATATGTAACTTGTGGTCTATAAGCTGCATGCATCCCAGGAAACCTATGAGTGAGTACTGTGGAATATTATTTTAACTGGACAAAGATGTGTAACATTCGTTTATACTGCAAAATATTACTGTAACTGTGTCAAGGTGTGTTACTTTTGTTTATGCTGTATTTGTTTAACAATGTAAGGATGTGTGTTTAATTATGTAAAGATGTGTTTCATCTGTTTCACCTTGCCTGCCCAAGGCACCTGATTGGTCTAATAAAAAGCTGAACAGCCAATAGCTAGGCAGGAGGAAGGATAGGCAGGGCTGGAGGGCAGAGAGAATAAATAGGAGAAATCTAGGCTTGAAAGAGAAGAAAGAACTAGAGAAGGAGGAGAGAATGGAGGACACGCCCAGGGTAAGAAGCCAGGCAGATGCCAGCCGGCCAGACATACAGAAGCAGTGAAAGTAAGATATACAGAAAGGTGATAAGGCCCAAGGTGAAAGGTAGATAAAGAGAAACATGTTTATTTAAATTAAAAGAACTAGCCAGAAACATGCCTAAGCTAGGCCAAGTATTCAAAACCAATAAGAAGTTTCTGTGTCATGATTTGGGAGCTGGTTGGTGGCCCCAAAGAAAAAAGCCTGGTACAAATGAGACCCAATATGTTTGGTGATGAAAAATGCCAGGTTTTAATGTCAAAAGGTTGAACAGTCCTGAAATAAGGGCAAAAGAAATGTCATCTTTTTCAACCAATTTAATCTTCAGTTGGTACCTGTGTTAACCTATGTGTCAATAAGTGTAGAGAAGTGACATGTCTACCTGGGCCTATGTTTCATCTTTTGGACCAAGGAGTGTGCTTCATTTATTCACCTTCACTTTTAAATGGATACCTTTTCTATATCTATCATACTTGTTTTGTTTTTTTTTTCAGTTTCTTTGGATTATACAATCCAATGGTAAACCAGAAAAGGACATCAGGTATTATATAAGCAGGCAAGAAAGGGAGGGAAACCACAAAGAGAAATTATGACCACGTGATCCAGCTCCCAAATATGAGCTACAAACAAGGGCACTTTCTGAAAATCTTCAGGACAAAAGAGGCTGAAGAGAAGCTATCAGGGATATGTTCCATTTCTCTTTGTTTAAAATGATTTAATGTGAAAGGAGGCAAAATGACAGCTCATCCAAAACTCTGAACCAGAGAACTGAGAAATGGAAAATTTCCAGAGACTACAGTCCTTGGAAATCTCCTCCCTTCTGCTACTCTAAACTGCCCTGAGTTATAATCACTTGAAGAAGTACAGGACAATTTAACTTATCTCTTTATTTTTCAGGAGTTCTGAGGGGTATAGTCTCCAGACACTATAACAAGTGACTGAATAATAAAGTAACTGGAGTAAGGTAAAGAAATCTGAATACTCATGAGAAAAAGATGAGGGGAAAGAGATAGACACTGATTTAAGGCAGGGTTTTCTGCTCTTTGGCTAGATAATCTGATTTACCAAGCCAACAACAATTGCCTGCATGTCACCAATCCTACCTTTCCCTCTTCAAGGGATATTAGGTTTTGAAGGTTTCCCCTGTGATTACTGTTTTTCACTTGATGACTAAAGCTGAAGTCACCATGAGGATGTGTTTTGACAGCCCCCTTGTTTGTTTCTACATCTGAGAGAGGTGGGGAGTGGCCCACCCTGGGAAGTATTGCTTGCTTGCTTATTTGTAAGGCAGCCATTGTCTGATTATCTCCTGCCCCCATCCTCCATTTCTTCTCCACCACCCCTCCAGAAACACTGTCAGAATTAACTATATGTGTCCACTCAAGGAGCACCTCCCTCATTCCAGAAATACAACAGGAAATGCTTTCTCAGACACTGATTCCTTGAACCACAGCTCAAGTCCTTGGAGTTTGGTAAAAAAAGGTCTTTGGGTAGGCCAAAGGGTTTCAAACTTTTATTCACCTCTCTAATTTATGGAGACTCAGACAACACATAAAAAATTAGAAGGGGAAAAATGTTTCAGGGCAGAAGAAAAACCTTTCAAAGAATAGGAATTCAGTGGCTTTTTGGAACCTTTCCTTACAAGAAAGCCTGCAAAAGAGACAGAAAAAGGGTCTTGCCAGTTTCAGAATGTCTCTGTTGGTAGACTTGCTTAAAGTTAATTTGGTCTTGCTCCTTGTCTCTTCTACAATAAATGAACAGAGGAAAAAACACATAAAGGTGAATCCATTACTTTCTAGTAAGTCTGGGGCGTGATGGCTTCTCCTTATAAGCAAGAGGGTTTACATATGTGTGTATGTGTAGATACATATGTGTGTGTCCACATATATATGTGTATAAATGAATGAAATCAATGTATATATTCTCTCTGTATATATATATTAATTTATATATATTTATATATATATTAATTTTTCTATATCTCAAGGTATCACTGCTATTCTACCCTTAGAGGACCTTATCTATCAAATGGGATAAAAATGTGTCAACTGATAATAATTGTGGTGTTTTTAAATCATCCACATTAGGAAGAATAGAAAAAAAAATTTGCCTGAACATTGGCTAACTCTTTGTTAAGACTAGTAATTGTCCCCTTTGGATAGACTAAACAATTTGAAATGTTAAAAGAAATACTGTTACTTAAACACAGAAAATTATGCTTGAGGTGAGGGCAGTACAAAAACGTATTGGATCTATATCTATACTATCACCACAAAGTTTAAGAATGTCACTTCCTGCTTGATGACATTTTCCATCTTGACTATGTCAGCCCACATACTATCAGGTCACACAACTTGGGTCTGCAAGATGAGTAAGAGCTGTTATTACTCCTAGTTTGTGGCATTTGGGAAGGAAAGGTTGATGACTTCATTCATTTCCTTTCAAAGTTCAAAGAAACTGTGGGTGTCTATGTTGTGATGACTAGGTGACAGATTATTTTTAGAATGATGATGAAAACAGAGCTTGGTCATTGGATTTGGCAGGATGATAGTTACAGCCTAGAATATGCATGCTTGATTAGTCTAGTAGATATACTAGAATGAGGTGATCTCACCAAGAGCAAAATAAGTATACTTGATATTCTATATGGTTATAAACAAGAGTACCAAACCTTTATTGTGTGCCTTGGAGTACATTAGAATGTACTACTTCTTATCTGCCTATGAAGTTTATGATCTCAAATCCAAGACAAAAAGAGCATTGGAATGGTACTGTCAATCCAGTTGTTTCCTAAAATCACCCAAAGAGATGAACACTGTCTTTCTTAATATGTCACAATAAAGTAAAATGAGTAAATAAAAGTAATAAAGTAAAATAAATAAAATAAAGTCACAAAGATTTCACCAAACTTCAGAGACTATTCTAAATACTCCTTCCTTGGCTTTGCCTTGGGTTTAATATAAATCCTTTTATTTCTTTTTAATTGTTGGCTAAGATAACAAGCTTTTCAACAAGCAACTGGGACCTCCCAATACCCCTGTTGATAAAGATCCTACCTCCCAGTCTAGGACAGAGGCCTGCCATTGCGCGATCTTGTCAATATTCTCCAGACGTCGCTTGCGTTCATTGATCTGCTGAGTCACATTTCTCATGACAGCCAAAGCAGCTGCAACATATCTATAATCACTGTGAAGATATGAGTGAAAGGTGAATGAACCAATGTGCAAAATGCCAATCTTAAATCCATTCTAGTTTTCCTCCTTAGTAAGAGTCTTGATTATCAGATGGTAATCTATACCACCTAGAGAACAACTACATTTCCTGTCCTATTTTTGTAAGAGATGACTATATGACTTATAGATATCCTACCTATAAACTTCTTTCACAGGGGAAACAGACCTCTTTATTTTTATACCTATTTGTGTTCTATCTGATAAAACCAGACAAGGATAAAGAAAAAGAAAAGCCTTATACATGGCATAGTCCAGAAGACACTCCTCTCTTCTCTCTGTATTTCTAAGGAGTCTCTGCCCATGGTCACCATGGAATAACATTGCTATTTTTCCTCTGGTACAGTAAGGAGATAGATGTAGTAGCATAATGTATGAGAACACAGAACTTGAAGCCAAACTCCATGAGTTTACATCCAATTTTATTGCTAACTAGCAAGTGTCACTCACACTTGATTCAATTTTCTCATGCATAAAATGGGGAGAATTTTGGCATAATTTATGGAGGGGTTTAATAAATTAAATGCAATCATCCATACATACTGTTTTACTCTTGATCCAAGAGTATTATTTGTACGTTTATTTCAAATCAAACATTTCTCCAGTAGTAGATACAATACAGGCTGCCTCCCACAGAATTCTTGGTCTGAGAAGTGCAACCTATACCCCAGCTTCTGGAAACATTTGATTACTCATGTGTTGAGAGGCATATCATTCTACTCAATTTTGTCTGCTTGTCTGACCTAGTTTCCAACTGAACAGCTCTTATGAAAGGCAGATTGAAAGTGAGATTCCAACCATTTGATACAGACAGAATGACCTGAAAAGGAAATAAGATTCATTACAGCTCAGTGTTAATACTTTCTCTTAGTAAAGCTAAAAAATCTTGTGATTGTAGCCTTCTTACTCTTCCAGCACTGATTAAAGAAAAAGTCGTGAGAAAAGGATGCAAAAAAAAAAATGTTTTTTTCTTCTTAATGTATTGGAGAATGGGGTGATGGAACAAGTATAGGCCTAAGGAGGGGAGTTCTAATTGTCAGGACAGAGGCTAACACCTCCTCTTAGATAACATCCATGACTCCAGTATGTACCTTGCCCATGTTCCAGAACTATGGACCTCAAACACTATTACACTTGATCCACCATAGTAACAGACTTTTCTTCTTAATCAATTTATTCTTTCTCAAGAAAGCTAGAAGTATTCTTATTTTGAGCCTTAATGAATATTAGCTATTGCTATGATGAGTCATATTGAGTGTACTATCAACTAATTATACTTTCTAAGTCTCTTCAAAACATGCTTTCTAGGAGCAATACCTCTCAGCCAGTCCTTGGATTGTTGATTCTGTGGATTCACCTGTAAAACTTCACATTTGTTCCTACTGTATTTCATCTTTTCACATTGCTTGTTCCTTTTTGATCTGTTAGCTCTCTAACCTTGCCAATGTTTCTCCCTGACAAGATTGTCTGAGCCTGCCAGTTAGACACAGGACAGGACAGTGGCATAAATATGTACTTCAGTTCTTTAGGCCCAGTTCCCTATCCCCTGTGTCTTTTCTTTGTTGATTTCAGGATATCAGTGTTTTAATCCATTTTCTGGGAAGTAATCATAGAATTATTTGTGGGAGTCTGTTCAAGTCTAGCTCTGACCTGTTGAAGAGTTCTTTTCGGGGAGGAGAGAGGAATGAGGAAGTATTAGATAGAAAGATAGAAGGAGACAATAAGAAAGACAGAGACACAGGATAGCTTTGGGAGGGCCCTGGGTCAATACCAAGCCACCTCGTCCTTTATTCTAATGGTCTTTTTATACACTGCCAAGGGGAGAGACAAAAGACCTCCCCCTTTCAAGATCAAAGCACAATGTACAGCCAAGTGTAGACCCTTCAAAACACCTGGTAACCACACCTGTGGCCACATCATCCCATTATGCAGCCCTGCTGGGTAAAGCAAGCTCAGATTCTCTGTCCTTGAGTAAAGTCTTACCAGGGAGCCTCTGTGGGCCCCCACAATTATTTTGTCTAGAATGCTACCACAGTCACATTTAATTAAACTTAAGTAAGCTAAAAAAATTAGTTCCTCAGTTGTATTAGTTATGATCTTAATTAACCCAAGGCCATATACACATGAAGTTCAATTGGACATTAAGGATATGAAAATGCTCTTCCTGACCACAAGTATTAGGCAATCATGGCCGTTGCTCTATAATTGTTAGTTTTGTCATTTTTACTGGCTATCTTTCTTACAGTGGTTAAAGGATGAATGTTGTCGTATCTAATCTGTACCACTAGCCTCAAAGGTGAATAAAATAAGAAAATAGTTGTGATGTACTCTGACTCCGGTCAGTGTCTCTGGGTTCTCAGATGAGGTCTGGCTGCTACCAATTATTGGAAGGGATGGAACCAAGATTTTCTAGTTTTAGACACATCAACTAACTCTCCTATTATATATTTTCTTTTTTCTTCTTAAGTAAGGGACAATTATGCCAAGTTCTCACAAGTAAATGGAATTTTATTTACTGTTTATCACTTTTCATCCAGTCTTCTACCTCAGAGACCACCCTGGTTATCTCATTTCAGACATTCCTATCAGACTAAGTCTCTAAGACTTGCCTACAAGTTGCTCAGGACATCTTAACATAGCTTCCTGAGACCCAAAAAAAGGTTTTCTCTGGCTTTGTCTTCTGTCTTTATCTTCTGCTTCCTTGGACATATCCCTACTCCTGTCAGTCTCTGGCCCACTGTCAGGAGACCAAAAATTATTCCTTCAAATAAGTTGTGGAAGTCTGATAGGAAAATATTTGAAGTTGATGTAGAAATTTGCCAAATAATATGTGACCATTGAGCCTTCATCATTGGAAACATATGATGAAGGGGAAAGCCTCCGTATTGGTTATTCAGTACCAAGTGATCAGCCCTAGCAGCATACATTCAGGAAACAATGAACTCATCAGGTTGTATAAATTTATATGTATATATAACAATTTGTTAAAGAAGAGGAGGCTATGAGAGAGCAGGGGAAAAGAGACATGGGGAAGGGTAAGAAGAAGGACATGGAATAGGAAAATGATGTAACTATATTTTATTTTAAAATGAAAGGTAGGAAACTTAAGTGAGAGACTTCTTTCTTCTTGGAATGCTTATTATAAGAATTAGTGCTGAGCTGAACCAACAAGTCCAAACTCAGGAATTTCATACCAAATAAAGACAAGCTAGAAATATTCTGAGTCTCTAAATTTCGAGGTAAGATATGTGAAAGGGTGGGGCATCGCCATCAATGGGGATTATTTTTAGCACATACCATACTGGAGGAGGTGAAATGCATCATTTCCTCTCAAAGAGATAGCCTTTATAGCCCTTGCTGGGTAAGTTCCCTTGAAAAAATTTAAGAACTGTGGAGTGTAATGGCACATGCCTTTAATTTTTAGCACTCAGGAGGCAGATCTGTTTTAGCTAGAGGCCAGCTTGGTCTATCTACATAATGCGTTGCAGTCCAGGCAGGAAAACATAGTTGGGCCCAGTCTCAAAGAAGGAGGAAGATGAGGAGGAGGAGGAGGAGGAGGAGGAGGAGGAGGAGGAGGAGGAGGAGGAAGAGGAGGAGGAGGAGGAGGAGGAGGAAAATAAGAAAGAAAGAAAAGAAAATATTAAAAAACTAAAGAAAAAAGCTTCAAGGAAGGTCTCAATCTGTTTTCCCTCCACTATATTCAAAGTCTATATAAAATATATAGTGGGTGGGGTAGAAAGGGGTAGAAAAGCTACATATGTAGACAAGAGAATTAGCTTTGCAGAAAGAATGTAGGATTGGTACTAGTTGTGAAAAATATTAGCAGGACATCTGAGTCTTTCAAACAGAATAAATGGTTGAGCAATTACTATGTCAGGTTTGATTCATGAGGCTGAGCCTAGTATTAAAAGCCAAGTTATAGGCTGCAGTCCATGAAGGTGGGGTATAAGTTTCATAATAATTATGATGTATATGATTTTGTGTGCATACTGACTTACAACTTTATAAGCAACCCTCTAGAGTATAACCCTTACTTTACTCACAAGGGTCTTCTGAAGTAAGGAGAACTATATCATGCTTTACAGATAAACTAACTACAGCTCAAGAACTGCAAAGCTATATATTGTCAAAAGGTACCAATATTCAAAAGACGTTTACTTTGTGTCCTCAAACCCCTTACCTGTGGTCTTGGGCAGTATACTTCAGGAGCTCAGCTAACTGTAAGGGATATTTGCAGATCTTCTGTACTGGAGTCAAAAGAAAACCATCGATAGCGATGTCAATCATCTGCTGCAAGAGTCGGCAGGCCTCAAAAAAGTGTTGATAGCGGCTGTCCTTCATCAGCTTGGAGAGTTCCATGCAGGCATCCAGGTGGTTGTTACAATATTCAGAGTATATCCAGAATCCGTCTTGCTGTGGAGAAAAGAAGAAGGAAAAATAAAGGCTCAGAGCCCCCAAGGAAGTCTTGAAATAATAGAAAGACAGATCTTGTCCATATGTAAGAATATTAAGGTAATGTCAATTTTTATTTGATTCATAATTTAGTAATAAACAATTAAAAGATAGCTACACAATTGGTAGCTATGCAAACCAATTACAAAGTTCATGTAGCAGTAATGAGTAAGTAGGAAAAATAAAACAATTCTGGGTAGTTATGGGAGACTGACCTTACCCATAGTAAACAGAATATGACAAATAAAATTCTAGTAACCATTGGAAGAGGTGAACCAGAGATTCTACTTCTTGCAGTGACAAACTAACACATTCTGCCACTGAAAGGAGCTAGGAAAGTCTAAAGAGTATAATGAAATTTTCCTGGGGAAATTATTATCCATAAGAGCCATAGGCCCATGACACTAGATAATGTCCCCTAGATGTGACAAGGGAAATGTACTCATGAAATCTCAACAGGGTTGCCTGAAAAAGACCAGCATAATGACAACACTAGCTGACATGCCAATTCCACATGAACCTATCCTAGATAAAGAGCTACAGATGGTCAATGGCTGTTCTTCCTCTAAAGAGGAGCTCCTGCATAGGCTACCCAATGTATATATGTGCCACACTCAATGGACTCAGTAGATTGTATGTACAAGTGTGCATATATATATATACATGTTGATATATATATATATATTTACATATAATAATTAAGTGATCAGGACTTTTAGAGGGTGAAGGAAAACATGGGAGCAGTGAGAACCAGGGTAGACAGAGGCAGAAGGCTATGTAGATGTAGTGTTCATGTAGAAAGTTCCAAGAAAAAAATTAAAAGGTAGTATTTAAAGAAGGAGAAATAGAAAGAATCATATAGCTATCTGAAGAAAAACTTTCTAT